TCATCCCTGGCCATGTGTGCGCACGCATCAGATTGGCTAACGTCTTTTGCCAACCGAAGTGTCCCTCAGTATCGTGACATTCCCCTAGAATTAGACTACGAATCTCTTCGCTGTTGGGGACGCACAAGCGGTCAAACACATTAGTCTTCTCAAACAGCAATCCGTCAGTAGTGCGGTAATCTGGTTCGGTCTCTGGGGTCTCTCTAACTCTCTTTAGGAGGTCGTTATAGATAGGGTCCTGCATATACGCTTGTTTCACTTTCTCCCGCAGGTCTCTCTCTATATCCAGATAATGTACTACGGCCCCAAAGTAGTCTGATCTCCTACTTAGAGCATCCGCCACTACATTGTACTTGCCCTTCACTGGCTTGAGCTCAAAGTCGAATTGGTCTATCTCTGCGGCCCACCTAGTCAACTTAGGTGTCATCTTGGCCTGGGTCTTTAGCCATCTAAGCGTTTCGTGGTCCGAATAGACTTTGAAGTGCCTCCCAAGCAGGTAATGCTTCCAATGGTCTAAAGCCTGCCTGAGAGCGTAGAGTTCTCTCTCGTGCGTGGAGGTAGCAACCTTCTCACAGGGCATCCTCGCTGACATGAGCTCTACGGGTCTATAACCATTGTCGTCATCTTGCTGCAACACGGCGCCTATCCCATACTGACTCGCGTCCGTGGTGACGACAAATGGCAAAGACGGATCTGCAACTTTGAGGACAGGATATTCTATTAACGCGCGCTTTAGCTTCTTGAGCGCAGACGTACAGTCTTTGTCCCATTGCCAGATTGCCTCTTTCTTTAGCAACCTGCGCAAGGGAGCGGCAATAGTAGAGAAATTCCTTACGAACTTCCTATAGTAGTTAGCTAAACCTAGGAACGACCGCAACTCTGTCAATGTGCGGGGCGTCGGCCAATCTCTGATCGCCGCGATCTTGCTGTCCTCTGGCTTAATGCCATCTCCGTCCAACACGTGGCCCAAGTATAAGACTTGCGTCTTGGCCCACTCGCACTTCTTCGCGTTGATCTTGAAGTTAGCCTCTCTAAGCTTCTCCAAGACCTGCCTCAGATGACCCTGGTTTTCCTGGAGGGTCTTACTAAGGACGAGGATATCATCTAGGTAGAGTACTACAAATTTATCTAACCATGGTCTAAACAGGTCATTCATACAACGCTGAAAAGTAGTTGGCGCGTTGGTTAGTCCAAAGGGCATTACTATGAACTCATAATGCCCGTATCTCGTCCGGAACGCAGTCTTGTACTGGTCATCAGGATGAACCTCTATCTGATGATATCCGGACTTTAAGTCTATCTTAGAGAAATATTTGCAACCCTGCACCCGATCTAAAAGATCGTCNTGTGGAACTATCCTTTTCCTGGGCCTCAGTGACAGGTCTAACATAAACTACAAAGACCTGTTCCTCTAACTACTCCTTTTTGATTAATCGCGCGAACGCAGGAGCACTGAGACAGCAATGTGCCAAGGTATTGTCTACGCCAGACACATGGAACAAGCGGGCAGTCTTAGCCTCGCCTGACGGACTAAGGGAGCCTACACTCATGCTCTCTCAACTGGAGTGTGGCCCCTGCTGCCTCTCGCCAATCCATTCCTAACACTACATCGAAAGGAAGGTCATCTTGCACGAGGAGAGTCAGGGAATGGAGAACTTTCTCCACCTTCCCATCCTTCTCTAGGCAAAAGTACGTCTGGACTCCCTCTACATAGTCCTCAACGTGCATCGTGCGGTTGTCTGCGAGAACACTGACTATAGGGTCTATTAAGTTCTGAACCTTTAGTCCTAGCCTCAACTTCTTTAGCGCCCTACGGCTAATATAACTACGGGTAGCCCCTGAGTCTATGAGGGCCCCTACTTTACTCCTAAACACCTCTACATCTACTTAGATCAGTTGTCCCTTACTCTCCTTTTTCATTTTGGCCCAGACTGGCATCCTCTCCTTTAATTCTTCTGCCACACCTGTGAGGGACGTGCCTAAAGAGACACTAACACAAGTAGTCTCTGGACAGCTATCTAGGCACGRGCCTGCAACCTCTGCCATAAGCTCATGTGGGTTGGGAGTGTCCTGTTCGCGCGCGCTCACTTCTCAACATGGCCTTGAAGTAGGGGCAGTTGCGACCCCTAYTGGCGGCTGCCTTTTGACTGCTGGGCAGCCCAACGGGCCTGTCTATATTTTGGACAAAATTTGATAACGTGGGTCGGGTCACCACAGAATACGCACTGACCCATGTTCACGCGTTCCTGCCATAAGGGTTGGTCCAAGCCCAGATCTTCCCAGGGCCTGCCCTGCGACAAGCCTGGGTGTCATCCTTCTTGAGGCACCCTTCCACCTCCTCGTTGTGGGGACCGGTTACCCTGGCGATTTAACGGGGGACCTTGACCCCTACCTCCCGCTTGGCGGTTTCCCTGTCCGCCAACCCCTTGTGCGCCCGGTCCTCGGCCTCCGATGGCCTGGCCCCTTTGGCCCTGGCCTCCTCCTCTACCTTGCGGCCTCCCTCCGGCCGCGACAGCAGCGTAAGACCTCCCCTGCCCCACACTACTGCCATCATCTTCGAGGCCCCACTCAATCTGATCATACGGGACCTCATCAGTACCACCTTCCTCTAACGTCAGGATCATGTGATCCTTGGCCTTTACTCGGCCTGAGATAGTACGATTCTTCCACTTCTTCCCCTTCTCCAGGTCCTTATGCCAGAAAGTGGTAACTGACATAGACTTTGACTCATATAGGATGACCTCCCTACTCAATTGATCATATGTGATGTCGGTCTGCTGAGACTTGTCAAATAAATGCCCGCGTAGGGCCTCTGGGATGGCACGATAAAACAACTTGGCCAACTAGGGCTCGATGACCCCGTGGTCAGGGACGGCTACCAAGTCGTCCATAGTACTCTTGAGTGCCTTAGCACTCCTCCACTACCGTGAGTGGATCGTTTGGAGTTTATCAGAGACTCTAATGCCTCGCGTTGGGTCAGCGAACCGCTCCTTGAGGAGCTTGAGGAATTG